ACCCACCCATCATCGTGACGGGGAGGGGGGCTGAGAGGGCGTGGACGGTGCTGCAATATATTAGTTGGCGAACTTTGCATAAAAGAAAATCTTTTATATTAATTGCTCAGGATTACAACGTTCTACTCGATTGTTCATAAACCAAGAAGGAAATTCACAACCTAAAAAGAAACCAGACAATAGTAGGGTGTTCGACAGAGTTCTTAAAGCTTATCTGCTATAGTTTACATAAGGGATTAGAGTGCCCTGCAAGGTCACTGGACAGGTGGTTATCTCATCAACTCAGCTCTCAGTTAACATAAGAAAAAGAGGATCATGGGGGACCAATGGTCACCGATAAGGCATTGTTTGTTATATAGAGGGCGCAAGTAGCTACAAGTAGTGCAGTGGGCCTTTAAAAGGTAATTATAAATGTGTTACCAACAGAAGAGTATTTTTTTTACAAATTTAAATGTTGCGTTGTTTGGTTAGCTATAAAAACAAATTCATTGAATCAATGTCAACCATGGGAACGCTAAAGAAAGAGATGAAAGTATAGTTTATGGGTACTAAAAGAGAGAGAACATTGTAAAAATCAATAACTTGCCCTTTATCGTGTTTAGCTGATGCAGTTTCTTTGCGTACTTACTAAACAATACATACACCTGCATAGGAACCACCTATTGATTGACATTTATTTTGGGTTTTTTGGTTTATGAAATAAAAAGAGCAAAGTGCATAATGCAAGTCATTGTGCACGAGTCATAATTATATCGCTTAAATGAATAATGTACTTGCATTTCTACAGGCACAAGACACAGAAGCCTCGGAGTATTTATAATCACCATTATAACTACCTCTTCTTCGGTCATGATTTGACCTGCTTCTCCCTTCTTTCTTATTCCCCCTTTCCCTTTCCCTTCTTCTTATCTGTTTTACTTTTCCTTGTCGTTTCGTGGTTGTTTGTTGTTTTGTAATACTGTCTCGTGTTTTCCAAGTCTTCGTAGGCAAAATATGAAACAATTACATCTTTTTCTGGGGGACCCACAAACTACAAGCTTTGCTTTTTAGTGGATACCCCCAGTTCCTCAGAAATTAAGAATGTCTTTTTTAATAATTTTATTATGTGCAAAGTGTATTTGTATAATTACCAGAAAAAATGAATTATGTTTGAACAAAATGTAATATATTTGCTTACCTTTCTGTTGGAAATGAAATAAATATATAAGGCACCCCTATATCATGACACAGGGGCGTACGCAGGGGGGGGGTGTTTTGGGGGTTCAAACCCCCCCTTTGGTATTTTAATGTATGTAAACCCCCCTAAAAAAAACCTAAACCCCCCCCCCTTTGGCTTTTTTTTAATTTTTTTTAAAAACCTAAATAAGGTGACCTTACCCCCCCCCCCCATACGAAAAAAATGTCAAATTTTGAAATTTTGAGACAAAAAAAAAAAAAAAAGTGTCCGCTTACCCCCCCCCCCCCCCCCCCCCCCCCCCCCCCCCCCCCCCCCCCCCCCCCCACTGAGCGACTTTTCGGCCGGCGCGATTTTCAAATTTTCGGGAGCAAAATATTTTAAAACCCCCCCCCCCCCCTTGAAAAAATCCTGCGTACGCCCCTGTCATGATACTCTTCCCAACACACTATTTACTGAAGCACGTCTATTTTTTTTCTCCGAAATCTTCTCTTTTTGTTTGCTGCACCTACAGTAAACGATGAACTCTTTTAACACCTTTCAACGATGGTCTTTTGTTGGTATGGAGGGGAGGGGGAGCTAACAAAGCATATGTATGCTTGTAAGTAAGCAACCAGGACACCTACGGCATTAAATCCTCTTCGAGAGGCACGGTAAATAAGGATCAATGCCTTACCAACGGGACTTTCTCTGGTTACGACACGAGTCCACTGAGCCATCGCGCATCCTCTATAATAACTTGTACAAATAGATATCACTTTCGTTAGGCCTACAAAAAAGATGTTGTATTGCCCTTTAGGTGCCAAAACATGGTTCGGTACGTCGGAAACCTTTTTTTTAAATAACTTTTTTTCCTTTTTCCCTCACTCTTTGGGGCTCATATTTTTCAGTTTTGAATGCTATAATATATTTTTTTCTAAAAAAAAAACGGGAAAAAAAATTAATAATTTAAAAGCCGACCGTAGATTTCAAGATTTTTGGGTCGGTCGCAAAGGGCAATACAACATCTTTTGTAGGCCTTATTACGCCCGTGTAATCAAATCAAGTCTTTATTTGATAATAGTTAGAGCTAGCGAGAATAAAAAAGACAGAAAAGTTACCCGCGTATATCAAATTATATACTTCATACTAAACACAGTTTGGTAATAATTTAGTCACAAAAACTAGGGGGAATAAAAACCTTTTTTTAAGTGGAATATAATAAAGGTGTCACAAAACCTTGATTTGATGTGAAGGCTTGTTCCACAAGTTTGCATTTGCAAAGTTTTGTAGCACTAGCAGGAGAGAACGGCTAAGGTGGTCAGGTGACTCAAAATGAACTCGATTGCGATCAGAAGAACCGAAGAAGAAAAATATATTGACAAAGTTTGTCAATATTTTTCGGTTGCCCGGCGAAACGTCGCGTAGCGCTACACTACCTTTTGCCGGCAAGTTGAATTGCGCGTTCGGGTTTTTTTTTTTCCAGCAAAACGTAGTGTAGCAAAAGAAAGATATATTTGCAAATTAATTTGAGAACATAATAAATCAGGCAAATATCTTTCTCTAAGAATAGTTTTGGCTACATGGAACATAGAAACGTTGTCGTTTTTAGCACTTGAAGTAGGTGTTAAAACTTCAAAAGCGTTTTTCTCGGTTCCCTCCCCCCCTTTTTTTTTTGTTTAACCAGCGCCCACGCTACGCGACCTTTCACCGGGCAACCGACTTAACTTATACATAGATTTGACTTAGTCTTTGTTCTGTATTAGACGCAGTGTTCACCTCGATTAACATGGGAATGTCTTGGACAAAAATCAATAAAGACGCGTTGGAAGAATTTTCACACATCGTTAACAACACATTTCCTTGAAAAAAGAAGAAAATTAAAGTAATAATGGACAGAATTGACAAAGGAGGTTAGTCGACAAACCTAGGTTTATGTGCGTCATAATTATGACGCGTTTCGGTGCGTTGCAGACCAAGGTTCAGTCAAAACCTCCTTTGTGAATTCGGGCGAAAAAATAATGTGTCCAATATCATTGACGTCAATAAAGGCGTGGCCACAGCTCATTTGATCGCATAACGAGCGGCCCATCATGAGACAGAAAATTTGGGATTTGTGATCCTTTATTTCTGAGGGTTCACGAGGCCGCAGATCGAAAACATTCGGTGGGGCCGACTGTGCAGTCCTCGAGGCCGAAACGATACTGTGCGGGATTTGAGGTCGATTATGGTAGTTTTAATTCTTTTGAGCTATGGTCTCGTTAACCCAATTCTTTTATTGTCTTTCGACCTCATAGACGTTGAGGCAACTAAGATGTCTCAAAACGGAGTTACCCTAAATCGGGGGTTCTCAAACTTTTTGGGGGGTCCAGATGTGTTATCCATGGTAGCTGTAAAGGCCGAAACATGGGTCAAATTTCGTCTGAAATTCTTATGGTCGATCAATGTACAACATGATTGCTGGAAAGCTGGGCACAAAACCAGATTATGAGCTTTAAACTTTAAATTTTGCGAGTGAGCAAAAATGTATATTTCATTCAGAGTGAAGGGGTCAAACTATCGATTTCTCAGTGGCGGATTAAGGTCGAAGCGAACGAGTGCAATCGCATGTAACCGGTAGCCCTTCAGGGTGGGGTCCAGGGGGAGAGCACAACGACGTTTGAATTCGTATATATATATATATATATAATTTTTTTTAGTGGGCTAATTTTGCTTTCTAGGGGATCCGTACAACATGGCAGAGCTTGGGGCCTGGTAGAGTCCTTGCTGGGGTTTCCGTAGTCCAGCCTCTCTATACCGTTTCCGTGTCGAGCGCCCAATCATCTGATAAAATAACACACCCTCAACGTTGAAAGTAGACTTCTGGTGGACGGAAATTTTGGGGTTGCACGATCAGTGGAGAGACCGCGCTGTGTGGGATCAACGGGGTGATCGATGCGTGTGATAGAAGAATAAAGACAAAAAACGGGCTGACTAGGGGTTCCGGAGCAGAGCCATTTAGCAATTCAGAACCTTTAATATGACCGTCTTGAGCAATGGAAAGTCACACTCTTTCTCTGAGAACTATTGTATATAATTATACAACAATGGGTTGTCTGGCTGGGGAACCACTTCTATTTTTACTGGCGGGGTCCAGGGGTCCGCTTTAGGGCCTCTGGATAGCGGTCACATGCGATAAAAGCTTTAATCCTTCCTTTGAAATTTAAATTGGACTGCTCCCATTGTGTGCTCCTTTCAAAGAGCACAAAAAGCCCTCAGATTTAACATTCTATCTCATTCAGCAATAGCATAATACGCCCTTAATACTGGACACAACATTCAATGGGATAAAAAAAAGGGTTAAACTTACATTGAATAGAGGCTCTTGCTACACTTCGTTACCTTTCTTCGCGTCAGTGATCTCGAGGCAGCAAACAGCAAGATATTGTGTAAACAATAAAAAGTCCACGGGGTACAGAAGTGGTTGTTAGAAGCTTAAAGTTTAAACTACATAACACTCACACTCGCTCCTAGTCTTAAGGACGATCCTAACCTAAGCAACAAAAGATTGTATCGGAAACCACTTTATCTTTACGGCCGGATGGGGTGCAGGGAGAGCCTTTACCGGGAGTCTGGTGGGCTGCACCCCAGGAAGTTCTTGAATTGTTCAGGATTTCTTCCTTTTTTATTTTTTAAGATTTTTTTAAAAATTCCTTGACACTTTCAAAATTCTGTATTTACCTTAAAAATTATGGGTCACTTTCTCGGGCGGTCCGGGTTGGCATATGCCCCGCTGTCCGGGCTTCGAGAAGCCCCGTCCTAAATCATGACTGTGTTTCGGGCATGTTGGAGAGAATAAATGCAATATAATGCAATATAAGTTGAGTGAAACGAAGCATTCATATTCTCCTTCAGTAATTATCACGGTTTTCTAGATTTTTCATAATATAACATTGTTATTTGTAAGAAGCGTCGAGACACATTTCCATCCTTCTGAAAAATGGGGAAGATCAATTGCGTATCCGGAAATCAGATAAATAGGGGCGGTAAAGTACATGGCAGTACATGTGGTGGTATGCGGCTCCTAAGAAGCTATTTCATGCAATCTGAGAAAAACGTAAGACCAACGCCTATATTGTATTACCTTACCTCCTCACAGCCCTACTGCTACTATAGAGACTTGCTAAAAAGTCTTGATTTATTTTATTGGTCTACGAACAGGGGGAGGTGCTACGCCAGCTTCATCCTCTGCTTGAAATGTCAGCTTGAGTTCAGGATTTGAGACGGACGTCATTTCTTCTTTCTCCTAACTCTATCCTCATGTTATTACATGATTAAATCGAGAATAATTGAATCAAACCATAATTGTCAGGAAGGAAACCACGCTGTCTGTAAATTTTGTCGCCTGCATGCACTTTGCCACCACCTTCAATACGAAAGGGCGCGGACAGATCAATCAAGCGAGCGAAAGATTACGCCACTATTCCTGCGTTGCACTAAGTACATGGACGTACAACTTTGAGTAAAGTACCTTGTAGAGTGCTGGACGATAAGGTTAGTTGCCTTTAGTTTGAGGAAAGAGGAATATATATATAGTCTAGGTTGTCTTCAAAACCTTCTCAAAGGAAGCGAGGAAGAGAAGAAATGTACGACACATTGAAGCGCCTACAACTCATTACCGAGCGAGAAGGCTGACAAGAAAGCTACTTATCTGCATCGCAAAGACTTGGGTTTCCATGTTTGACGTAATACGATTATCGGCCTAATGATCTCTTCAGTGACCATGCTCTTTCCATGGCAAAATGTGATTCATCTCTAGCCGTTCACGTGTAGACAGGATCGACCTCCATGTTTCTTGAACAGGTGAGTCAAGTGTCCATCCCTTCATTACCATGATTTGTAATTATTGTTGGTGCTACTCTTGTATTGATTTCGGATGGTTTGTATAAGCGCATCGACACATCAGTCGATCAGACAACTCGAGTGTCTTCTTTAGATATAAATAATCAATCAAGTTTTAAGAAAAGGTCAGTTATTATTTTAAAGATCAATGCACGTTAATTTGTAATTATCTGCAAAGTTATGATGGATAATTGGAAATATACATTATATTTATATAAGATGTAGACGTTCAGAAACCTGTACTTTAAGTTTCACGATATCAGCCATTTTCGTAATGTAGCCATATCAAATGCATACGTCTTTAAAAGACCTGGATACGAATGATTTCAAATCAACTAACACAAATAATTGTATTTCAACAGTTAGAATGCAAATTGCATATATTACGTGTTACTAGGAAAGGCAAGCCACACTGTTAGTCCTATCTAGCAACAACTAATGTATACAATTTGCATTCTGACTATTGAGACACTATTTTTCGTAACAGTTAGATGACATGATCTGTATTGAGGCACTTCACAAAGATGTGCATTCAATTTGGTTACATTACGAAAATGGCCTATTTAAAGTATATGAATACACCTGTAGTTTTGATGTGTGTTTGCTTGTAACCATGGTTGTACCCCTTCAAATAACATCTCCCTCGAAGCTTTCGGAACTATCAATGGAAATGTTTATGTAGTATGACGAGGGAAATTCCCTTTAATAGGTAACAAAGTCACACTATTCAGATAACTGGAACGCATACAGAGATACCCATTGTCCACCGGGTCATTTTCTTCACTGTATCACCTTCGTAAAACGATTGATAAACATTTCATTTTCGTTTTCCCATCGCCTCGGGTTGGAGGGGGAGGGGGGGGGGGGGTCGCATGTTAATTGAAAGAACGTGATATGATAGAGTTAAAAGAAATTCTACTTTCAGGGTATCTTCTATCTCTGAAATGTAATTATTTTACATAGATCAATACATACATGTAGATCAATACAGAATGTTTGGATGATTGTACAAACAGGTCATTTTTTGCAATATTAATTTGATTCATATTTCAAAAATGGTTGCTGTATGTATTTAACCTTCAGTTCGGGTTAATCATCATCACATAAGAATCAATTGAATAGATGCTCGCTTCTCGTGATGTTTTTGAAATTTAGTATGGGAATAAATATACTTGACTTAATTTTAAAGATAAAGACCAGTTATGGTCATGCGATTGTATTGTGAGAGAAACGTTGTGGAATCGCTCAGAAAAGGTTGATCATCTAGCATATAAGTTTTGGTGTGTACTGCAAGGTTCTGGAATCATCAAAATGATAAGAAATTTGGCCCAATCTTGGTTAAGTAACAAGCCCTGTACACAGAAAGATGTATATGGGACTGCGCGACACGTGCGCGATATCTATCAGGTCCAAATAGATATAATAATTTACCAAATATATCAATTAGTAGGCGGTTTCTCAGTCGGCAAAATTTGTATCTTCACGTATCAGTCAAAACATATTCTTTCACATGATTGGTAATAAGAGCTTCCATATCATTTTTTGAGAGGGGGGCGTTTCCAAAACTGATCTTTACCTTTAAGAAACTAAAATGTTGTTATTCTCTAGATCTTGTCAAACAAGTCTTGTAGAAATTAATTGGTCATCGAAGATTTGTGATGTAAATCGTGAAATCTATGAATTGTTAGCTTCTAGATTGACTAGCTTGTTTGTTTTATATTTAAAAATATATACAGTGTTAAGAATTCAAGCTAGGTTGCCAAAAATGATGCAAACATACAGCCATAATCAGAAAAGCCTTATCGGAGATTTGTTGTAACTGACAATTACCATAAAATCCAATAATACATGTGTCTCGTGTGATAAATTGGTTAAAGGTCAATGAGATATTCAGTATTTGGCATTGTATACGAGGATGCTATTCCCGTTTTATTCTTGGTTTCATAATCTTTGTTCGAAGAACAGCTAGATTATTTGCTTCTCTCTTTCTCTCTCTCTCTCTCTCTTTTCATTTATCTTTCTAGCTCCTTCTCTCTTTCTCACTCACTCTAGTTTTATCTCATTCTCTCAATCTTACCTTCTCCCCTCTCTCTGCCTCTCTCTCTCTCCTTCTCTCTCTCTCTCTCCTTCTCTTTTTTATCTCTCCTTCTCTCTCTCTCGTTCTCCTTCTCACTTAATCTAAATTTAGCTCAATTTTCTCAATCCCACTCTCCCTCTCTCTCTCTCTCTCTCTCTCTCTCTCTTCTTCTTCTTCTTATCATGTTTATCTTCACCTTTCTCAATCTCCTCCTTCTATCCCCAGCTACCTCTCTTTCGTTTCCATTGACATTTCATCAATAGTACACCAACATATCCTTGATCGCAATTCGGTCATTATATTATCTTGGTAATCATTTCCATATTAACAAGTGACATTGGGGAGTGTTTATACACTATTATTATATATCCTGTTGTGAGTTCCGTTTACTTGATTTCGTTCTGTTGAGCAATGTTGGTTTGCTTATGTTGCACAAGACAATACCTCCGTTATGATATGCATTTCATTTGACAAAATCGATTTCTTTAAAGATATTCAATTCAATTCAATTCAAATAATTATATTTCTCATGAAAAACATAATTAAATGATATTGCAATGTTATTTGCAATTTAACATATAATATTTCAACAAAAGAAAATACAATGAAACAATACAAATATAATATAGGTTTTCCCGCCCAACTTCGTAAACTTAGCATCCAAATTAACGTTACGTTCATTCAAGTTCGTGCGAAATTGAATGACTATATAGATCAACATTCAAAAAGCTAATTGCGTCATTAAATTTAATTTAGTAGCATGCGCTTTCATACTCTTGTCACGGAGACGTGCAAAACGAGCATTCAATTTAGAAAAGCGTGTAAAGACCATTCAAATTCGCGCGGGACAGACGTCGGTATGTCTTCGTTCATTCAATTTCGTGATTAGGCATACATTTGTGACATTTGTGCATTGCTTTCAATTTGTTGTTAATTTGTCACTTAATATACTTCTGTTTGAATAATTTTATGCAAAGTTTACTTGGAGGAATGGCATGCGTATTCGTTCTGTAATTACACAGGTAACTGTCCCCAAAGAAGATCTTGGACAGAGGTAGTTCAGGTTTAATATACATGGACATGATGCAAACATAATACAATGATGAATAAAGAAAAAGATGTTAAATGAAAAGAAAGAAAGATCACCTACTCAATCAAGATTGATCAAAACAAACCATTTAAAATATAGCCCCTTAAGCATTTATAATGACAAATATGAAGATATGAATCAAGTAATGTTTCAACAAAAATAAAGAATGTCGAAAGAAAGAAAATAATGCAATATAAATATATCATACAAAATAATAAGAAGATTGTATAAAAAAGTGTGAAATCATATCAGAAAAGATCATAGAGAAAAAGAATAAATAAATGAACATGAAATACTGAATATCCGAATGAACATCGAGCCTCATACTATGATTATGAGGTCTAGTTTTAATTTGAATGACCCGATTGCGGAAGAGGTTGCCCATAGACGAAAATGAAACCGCAATATGCCAAAGAATTCACCTCCCACTCAACATTGGCGAAATTGAATGACCCTTACGCATTTCCAAATTGACTGAACCAAGCATTAATTCGAAAGTGCATGTTTAGAAAATTCGGTGACTCGAATGCAACAAGTGTAAAAATGAAACAGGGGAGCAACGAGTGGAGAAATTTTGCTCAAACAGAAATGTAACCATAAAGAAATTATGAATTTGGAAAGGAGATTTATTTTAAAGAGGAAAAAATCGGAAAAATAGAAGAAGGTAAAAAAACAACGAAAAGGAATTGTTGCAAAAGCTCTAGAAAAAAGGGGAGGTTAGATCAGCAGAAAAGGGGAGAAAGAGATTGAGCCTAGGGTCGGGCAAACAGAGATTCCTGCATATCGACGTGTCAACAATGCAGAATTCAATTTTCAGTTTTTATTTATTTTTTTGGTATAGACTGGTACTTTGTTGAAGAGAATGATGTGTCTAATACTGGACCGGTGTAAATAATTGTGTTTTGTGCGAAAACTGTTCTCATTCGAGGAGGGTAAAATTGATTCGACTGTGTATTGGGGTGTGAACGTGTCTCGTTTCTTATTTTGAAAAATGTATGAACTTGGGAGAGGTACCAATGAATAAAAATCATCAATTATCTTGTAAAAATAAGAGGTTAGTGTGGGAACGAAAGTAGTTGTTATGGATTATTCTAAATGCATGCTACTGCAAAGTTAATATACGATCAATTAAAGTCTAACTAGAATCTCCCACTGCTAAAATCCCATGATTTAGGTAAGGCAAAATAAGGGTTGTTATGTGTACAGTTATAATAAAAACCTGTTAAAAGGAAATGAAGTTTTAACATGATTTATGACACCAATGTTTATTGATAATAATTTACACAAATGATTGATATGAACTTCCCATGTCAATTTGCTATCAGCATAAATTTCAAGGGATTTAATACTCTGGACACTTTCTAGTTCGATACTATTTATTTTAATTGGACCAGGAAGATGATCGATAGTAATGCTAAATAGTATATAATTTGTCTTGTTAAAGTTCAATGATAGTTTATTGGCTTGTATCTAACTTTGAACCAAAACTAATTCCAAATTAATTGTTTTTAGGAGAGTTTCTTGGTCGGGACATGAGAGAAAATTAATAGAGTCATCAGCAAATAATATGAAAAATAAAATATTAGATGATCGTTTGAAATCATTTATATATAGTATGAAAAGAAGAGGGCCAAGAACCGAGCCTTGAGGCACCCCATAGGAAACATTTCTAATTGATCACTGGAAGTTATATACATAGGTATATTGTGTTCTGTCTGAAAGGTAGCTTCTACACCACTCAAGGGCCTTCCCCGTGACACCGTAGTGAGAAAGTTTATTAAGAAGAATTTCATGGTCAATATTATTGCGTCGAAGGCCTTTGAGAAGTCTAGAAATAAACCTATTGTGTGACAAGGGTTATCAATTGCACAAACAATTTTAGTAATGAGTGTTAACATAGCAAGAGTAATGGCATTTGTCTAAATCCAAAGTGAACATCACTAAATAAATTGTATTGTGTAAGGAAATTTATAGTTTGTGTTTACACAAGTTTTTCTAATATTTGGGGAAAAGAGGTAAGTTAAACTAATTGGCTTATAATGTCCCTTTTCACGTGAGTCACCTTTTTAAAATACAGGTATTACTTTGGCTCTTTTCATTTAAAAGGGTACGTCACCTCATATAAAAGAGAGGTTAAAAAAATGGGTTAGTGGGATGACTTTTTCGGAAATAATATGTCTAAGACGTATTTTTGCAACGCCATCATACCCAGCGCTCTTTTTTTTTACTTTTTAGATTATTAACAATATCAATAACCTCTTCCTCTTATACCGGGAAAAAATAGAGTTTCAGGAATACGACGAGCAAGAAATGAATGGAATTACTCATTTGAGGTGGGGATGGCATTTTCAAGACTTGGACCTATATTTACAAAGTAATCATTGAGACTCTCAGCGATAGAAGCTGGGCCTTGAAAGCATGTGTTTCCGACTAAAATCTCTTGAATATCCTGGTTATTACTGTTCCTATTACGTGCATTGTTAAATAGCTTCCAGGTGTTTTAATGTCATTTCTATGAACTTCAAAATGTTAAAAGAAGAATTCTTTTGTTGCATAACGTAAAATACTAACTAGGGTAATTTTATAAGTATTATATTTGTTTTTGTTTGACTATGTTGGCTTGGCCTTGAATTGATAAAATTAGCGATTTTCCTATTAAATGAACGTAATTTGGATTTTGGTATCCATAGAGATCGTGGTGTCTTTCTATAATTTGAGTTCCTATTTGTATTCTGAACAAGAATAACGTGATCATAATAAATGATCAGAGTCATTCTGGGAGAGTCAAGGATAGACAAAACAATTGCTGGCATAGGCCAGAAATAGCGCGCGCCTTTTACAGCTGTTTAAGCGGTGCCTTTGTGAGACAGCGACATGTGAAATTTACCTCTGTAAAGAAACCGAAAATGCGCACAGCCAGTGAATCTACAACGGTGGAGTTATGCGCGCAGTAAGCGTGGGAACGCCGTGTGCAAGATTTTCTCACTTTCGACTTTATCTCCGCTCGGAGAAGTCCTTTTTCGAGAAGGCTCTACAATTGAGTATACAGATAAGTCTAAATAACGAGAGGAAATCCCAGTATATCGAAAGATGGGAAAGCGGAAATCAAGCCAGAGCCGGGTGGCCCGCCAACCAAAGATTGCTAGGCCTAGACAGTCTACAAGATTAAGGCAGTCTAGCAACGACACCACTCAAGACGTACTCGGCACCTCAACTCCCCGGCGGGCGGGGCGGCCAAAACGGGCGAGGCACTCGAGCGGTAACCCCAACAGTGGACGCTCAGCCACTACCAGCATAAACCCGGCTCCGGAGACTGACGGACCACAATACAGTGGAAACGAGACAACTGGAGCGAACCAGTCATCAAGCCAGCCGCCTTCACATGCACAGCCAATGCAAGGTGAGGTAGACGTAGCTATGCAATCACATTTACCAGAAATATCACAATTTAGTGAAACAACAAGACATAGATTTAACAATCTTGGAAGCGAGAGGGAAAGCAACTTGGTGGTTTCCTTCCCCTCGATTGTACCAAACACCGGTAGCCTATACGCTGGCTTTCAATTACAAATTACACACAACGAGAGTGACACTAGGCCTAGAGCTAGTCATAATTTGAGGGATAATGAAGCCCATCCTCCCACACGGGCAAGCAGTGTCGGGCAATCGATTCAGTCAGGCGCTATTGCCAGGGGCGGATACAAGACCGCCCCCAAACCCAATAGGGATCGTGGGCAACCAAGCGGGAATGGGCCACACCCCGGGGGTCGAGCACAATAAAGTTCACACCCAATATGAATAAGGGAAGGGCGCCATTTCGGGCACAAAACTTTCGTGGCGGAGAATGCTATGAATTTAATTACCGGTCAGGGCAATGCTCTAGATAGGCATGCCGCTTTACACACGCATGTACCATTTGTGGTAACAAAGGGCATGGGAAAATCCACTGCACTGGAGTCCAACGGTTAAATTTCAAAGCCATCAAACCCAATAACAAATAATTGCACCTCCAGAAATGGGGAACAAATATAGAAGAATAATAAAGATATACATGGCAATTTGAAAGAAGATAATAACATAACGCAACAGATGAGTGACTTAATGTTTTTAGCACAAACACCAATTATAACCGAGAACTTAAAAGTTATGTTAAAGACGTATTTTAACAGGGAGGCCGCAGAATTTTTGAGAAAAGGCTTTATTGAAGGCTTCAAATTAAATTACACAGGCCCCCGCATGCCGGCTGATATGCCCAATTTAAAATTAGTGGAAAATAACAAATTAGTAGCATTTGAAAAAAAAAAAAAATTGAAAAGAGGTAAGATTGGGTAGATATTTAGGCCCATTTGAAGTTAGGCCACTAAATAAATTACGGTCGAGTCCTATTGGACTGGTGCCCAAAAAGGTGCCGGGCGAATATCGTTTAATTAACCACTTGTCATACTCACTCGGGTTTCAATAAACGATTTTATTCCGGATAAAGTTTGCAAGGTTGAATACACGAGTTTTGATAAAGCAACAGAATTAATTGTTGAAGCAGGCATAGGTGCCGAGTTAGCAAAAGAGGACATTAAATCGGCATTTAGGTTATTACCGATTCATCCAAATGATTTTGAATTGCTCGGGGTCAAGTTTGACGGCAAATATTATATTGACAAATGCTTACTCATGGGTATCAGATGTGCCCCAGCATATTTCGAATCTTTTTCTACGTTTATTGAATATTGCGTTAGGGAAAGAATTGGCTCCAACAAAATAGTGCACTATGTGGATGACTTCTTATGTGTGGGTTCAATACAAAATGAAGAATTAACATGTAAACAAGTTGTTGATACATTAATATTAGTGTGCAAAGAACTAGGCGTCCCCCTAGCCAAAGAAAAATTAGAAGGGTTTATTATTAGATTGATATTTCTTGGCTTAGAGCTTGATTTAGTACTAATGCAAGTACGTGTACCACAAGAAAAATTGGTGGAAATAAGACGGAAAATCGGTAGGGCGCTAGCTCATAAATCAGCCACCGTCAAAGAGATTCAATCTTTGATTGGCTCTTTGAATTTTATTTGCAGAGCTGTACGACCGGGCAGAGCATTTTTACGACGGTTAATAGATTTAATAAAAGGGGAAAATGTGAAAAGTACCAGTATAATGTTGAATGAGGGGGCCCAAGTTGATTTAATTATATGGCTCGAATTTTTGAACCACCATAATGGCATATCAGTCATCCCCCAGGAAGGGTGGGGAGGAGATAACGACCACGTTTTGTACACTGATGCTAGCGGGGAAATTGGTTTCGGAGCCTATTTTGAAGGCAAGTGGTTTAATAACAAGTGGTCGTCGCGCGAAATTATCGAGGGTACGTTAATAGCATGGAAAGAAATGATACCCATTTTACTCTCCATCGCTGCATGGGGGGAGGAACTCCAGAATAGGAGAATAGTTTTGGATACAGACAATATGTTAGTGAAGTTTATAATAAATAAGCAGACATTATTATGTTCGAAAATAATGGAGTTATTACGTAAATTTGTGTTGATCTGCTTAAAGAAAAATATTGTTTATAAAGCAGTTTACGTATATATATTTGACAATGGTGTTGCCGACTCCCTTTCATGATTTTAGATGGGGCGATTCCGCAAATTAGCACCAGGAGCACGAGACCGATTAAGTCGCATATTTACGGGAATAGTGCTGACCTAGCAGCAGAAATATATAGATTACTAGGACAGTTTTTAGCAGAGGGATTACAGCGGGCATATTAGAGTGCTGTAGATTCATTTTAAGAGTTTCGATTGAATAGACAATTGAATACATCATGGCCTGCAATAATTATACAGGTTATGGCATTCATCGCACACCTCTCCATTAATGGGAAATTATTATTAATTATTATAAAGCATGTCGCAGCGTTATCATATTTATACAATATGTACAGCTGGGCGGACCCAATTAAATATTTTTAATTAAGAAAATGCAGGAAGGGAGCAGGCGCGACAGATTTATGGTAGACAGTAGAAGACCCATAATTTGGGAACTTTTAGAGACAATTATACCAATATTATATTTTGTATGCTATTTTCATTACGAATCAATGATGTTTTACGCATCATATTTATTAGCATTTTTTTGGGTTTTTGAGAGTGGGAGAATTCACGATTCAAAGGAAGGGCGATGATTTAAATAAGGTCATAGCGAGGGATGACATCAAATTTTGCAGTGGCCCGAAGGGAAGCCTGCTAGTACGTATTAGATTTTTAAAAACCGACCAATACGGGCAAGGAACTACGATTAATATCGGTAGCAATGGGACAGATGAACAGTGCCCTGTGAAAGCCATGAAAGCATACCTCCGTGTAAGACCTGATATAGATGGTCCGTTATTTTGTCATCGTGATGGGGCCCCTGTAATTAGGTATTAATTTAGTTCAGTTTTGAAGAGAACCCTATAGCACAACGGGTACAGTGGTAGCCAATATGGCACATACTCCTTTCGAATCGGAGCGGCAATTATAGTGGCCCTGAAAGGCGTTCCCCCAGAACAGATAATGGTAATGGGAAGGTGGCGCAGTTTTGTGTATATGCGTTATATCCGCTAAATATTAGGTGCAATTTAAAATTGATAGGAATAAACGTTATCATAAACATAATAATTATAAGGATAATAATAATGATAACTTTATATACAGCATAATATGTTACGATATTAACGCGCTCCATATAAATTATGCAATATTAATTCCCAATAAGGCCACAACATTACATTAATAGAGATTACTATGACAAATTGGATTTAAATTACTAACGGGCAAACGGGAAAGCAGTAATAATTTTATACAATTATTTAACCTAATTCGTTATAATACAATAAAAAGTTGAACACGACACAAAGTATACAATGTGCAGATCAATTATGTGAAGTGCTCATGTTAATAACCAGAATGGGACTGGAGGATCAACCAGGAGTTACTATCCTGATTAGGCTCCCCCAATCATTAATATTGTCGTAACCCCCATCGCTGCTAGGTTTTACATGTAACACAGAGGAACGATTATTCCTTCCTTTTTCCTTTTAATGGAAACCTACTATCACATATTTTCATAGTAAATTATAAGTGGGAGAATAAGTAGCCCACGTGTATGATGATATGAATATGAATATAGAACACATTACTTTGGGGAGTTTTTCCATCCTGTTTCAGAGACAACCGGCGACAGGATCTGGATCGTAGGCGACAGCTTGGTCAGACGTGCCAAGCAGAGGGCGAACATGCTCAACCACCAAGATTTGGGAAGAGCAAGAGGGACGGTCCAATGGCACGGTCAGGGAGAAGCGACGTTACAAGACCTTCCGCGCCTGGTGGAGAATAGGTTGAGATACAACCAACGAGCACCTGCGCTAGTAATCGTGCATTTAGGAACAAATAACTTGGGCCTGAATGATGCCTGCCAATGCAGAATCGCGATCGATATGGCTCTTCAAATTTTACGGACAGCCATGCCTCGTACGCACATCGCCTGGTCGACCATCATCCCACGTCTATTCTATCATAGCAGTCGTGGTTATCGAACATTACAAGACGCCATGGATGGGGTCAGGAAATCGCTCAACAAGTACGCGAGGAGATTAATAGCCCGGCTGCCGAATGCGTCAGTTATTGCTCATTAGTTGGATCCATCCAATTACAGTTTATTTTTAAGAGATGGGGTACACCTGTCCGACAGAGGATCCGACGCTTTCATCGATAATTTCCAAGAAGGAATAGACTCGGGCTTGGGTATATATGAATAGAATATTTATATTCACGGAAACGGGACAATAACACTAATTCGGCTATTAATGAGCCTTGTGGAATTTCGGACAGACTGGGTTCGATGTGATAATGGAATTATTATAACACAAGAAGTTGAGGAATAGCGTGTTGTAACGTGAGTTACATATTCAGATATATACGCCTTCATTTTTGGGATTCACATTAAATTTGAAATTTATTTAATTGCTGATAAATTAGAACCATATTTAAATTAATGATTGATTTTGATGTACTAGTATACATCATACATAATTGTTAAGCTAGCAGAGGGTGGAGTCAGAGTCACTCGGTCGCACAGTAGCTTCAGAACTACAAAGTGGGCCATAGGGGAATTTTCCCCGACAAAGGAAATATAATTATTTTGCTCGTTAAATTAAGCCACAATGGCAATATTGTCGGGTTTTCGCCTCTATCACTGTCTGGCTAGCAGCAAGAATAATAATATAAGATTACAATATGTAACGGATTGAATCCATGAGAAATACATG